CATGTAGATTGTAGTTTAGCATTGACCTATTGTCCTTTTAATTAAAAAACGTGCAGTTATAAAACCGAAAAGTTGATTTTTGAACACTGTCAGTATTTGAGTATCAACTTTAATTTGCGGAACAGATTTTTGTGTATATATAAATTCGGGTATTCGCAAATTTTTATCACGATACTGAATTCATTTCAACAACATAAAAACAACATGTATATACTACAGAGTACAGTATAAACATCTCAAAATGTTTTATTAAAGTGATGTGCCATGGGTAGGATGAAGGCCTATTAAATGGCGATTATGGAAAATGAGAAGATCAAAATATTTTCTATTTTTTATATTTGTAGTATAAGGTTCAAACAGTTTTTATTTTAATATTTTCATGTTTTTTTTTTAATCATGACCACACAGATATTGGCCTAGTATATATAGTCTACAGACCTATATATAGACAGTGCAAGAAAGTTTTAAAAACACATATTTTCGCCTCATTTGTGTTAAAACTCGGCATGCGGCAGCTATTTTCACGCCTTCGCGTCCGATTTCAATAAACGAATTGATATATTGTACATGAAAGTTTTTTTAAAAACATTTCCGTTAGGCGCTACATACAAAATTAAGAAAACTATTTTTTGGAAATGAGTTCAATACTATAGCTAAACCGGCTACAATCTACATGCAGAAAACTCACCTTGCAGTATCTGTTCGATGATCAGCTTCAGGTTTTGCAAGTCGATTTATAATGTTTTGAAAAGTCGCCAGTGCAGTTAAACTGGCGACCGAACCATGCCGCCGCTTGATACTTTAAAACAGACAAATTTTGCCAAATAATCCACCGATCACCGGGCGACATGATCGGCTATAAACATAGCAGTTGCGTGCACTACAGCCGTAATCTTTTTCATTCGAACTAACTCGAAGTTTCGAAAGCATTTTTGCTAGCAGACAAATGGTAAACTCCCCCCTGTAAGCTGTTTTGTTGGTTTTTTGATAGCCAATATTATCGCGTATACGTGTTTTGAAACGGCGATTTTCGCATGGCAATAGGCATCCCGCATCGAGACACGGCAAATTCAAAGAAACTTTTCGTATTTTTTCGTCTTATAAACTCGTGTTGTTGCAAAAAAAGTTGTATACATATTTAGTAAAACTATCCTACAAGTAGGGGCTGCTATTTTTTAGCGTACTTTGTTCACGAGACGTTGTTTTTTTCGACTTGTTTAAGCCGTGGCGAATCATGATATTACTAATACTTGCCAACCTTAGGATATTATACTACTGCATCATACGTCACGGCGTGCGGATTGTTGGGCTACTGTGGCAAAACGCTATGATGCGAACGCGGCATCCGTGATACGGGCTAGCACGTATCAATTCACCAGTTACCGTGGCAACTGGCCCGTAAACAAGTTTAAAAAATGTAGATTTTGCATATATTTTCCCCTTTTGTTTAACAAACGCAAAGATAAAAGATATTTTTTGGCGGAATACTAAAAGCAGAGAATATATGCCAAGGTGAGTACGTGTATATTTTTAATTTTCCCTATAAAAACAATCATTATAACTTCGGTTTTTCACAACGTTGACAAAACAATTACGCACGAAAATTACATCTCTCCCTATGTGGTTATATTTCGAACCCTGGAACTTGGCGACAAAGCTGTCACTTGTCTGCTAAAGCATATAATGTTGATTCCACTAGGACATTCACAAATCCCTGCGATATACAAATTTTGTAATAAATATATTTTTTAACAGCTCACCTTGCGCGACTACGAAAAGATGTCAATTTTTGTTGTTCTAAATTCGAACCCTGTAACTACAGTTTTAAAAGAGATTGAGATTTTAAGGTTACATATTTTGAACAAGAATAGACTATTGAGTTCCACTATCGCTTTTTTAAACTTCTTTTTGGCAAAGCAAACTCAAAAATCAATATTGAATGCGTGTGCACTGTCTTTGAAAACACAAATGTCGCTATTTTTGTTTTTCGAGTATACACTTATTTCGAACCCTGTAACTACAGTTTTAAAAAAAGTTTAGTATTTTACAGTCACATATTTTGAACAAGAATAGAGTAATGAGTTCCACTATCGCTTTTTTAAACTTCTTTTTGCGTTAAAAAGGCTAAAAATAGCCAATGCTCTCTCATGGGTGTATGCAGGCCTATGTCGGCGCGACCGCCTAACATCAAAAGAGTGTCCCTTCTGGTTCTATTCCTTATTCTGTGGCGGTGTGATCGAATGATGCTATCCCAGGAAGCTTTGCGCGTGTTGTAGGAAAACTAGGCACCAGTCTGTCAACCGTCAAAAAGCGCTCATCATCAGAATTTTCGTTTCAAAATGGTCTTTTGTATAACAAAAATACCTACCTCAACAAGCTATAATATAGTTCCATGAAGTCAGGAAGAATTTAAAATCAACTCAATCCCTCAATCAAAACGTTGGTATCGAAATTGAGGAGACTGGACTCAGGTCTGGAACACCTGGGGGCCCAACTTGTGGGCAGGGGGCCCTGGCATGCTGGAATTGCGAAATTTGTAAAATTAAGGATTTGTTCGGTGAATTATGGAATTTTCTGGGAAATTTAGGTCGAATATTAGTGTTTCGAAAAATTTTGGGAACTTTTTTTTCGGAAACATAACGTCGCCCCCCCCCCACCCCCTCCCACTCGCGACCGTTTTTTAGGCATGGCCCGATTGTGCTGGTAAAATCCAAAAAAGTTGCTTGCTAAAACTAGAACGTTGCTCGCTAAAAACTAGCATAAAAGGTGCTCAAACGTTGCCCGAAATAGAAAAAAGTTGCTACTAAAATTCAAAAAGTTGCCCGCACGTATTGCGTTAATCAAAAGATTTATACAATTTTTGCACGCTCGGATGAACTTCTTGTAATTAACAATAAACTTTTCAAGTTTAACAAATAGCAATACAAATGTCATACAAATATCAACACGAATACCTAGAATAACAAATCTTCCAATAAAACAACATCGCAAGTGTTGTCTTTGTAGCTCTGCGTTTCTTACGCTAATTATTTCATGTTTGGGGTTCGACGAGAGAACACAGCAACCCTAGTCCCCTAGCAAGCAGATACCAAGGGAAAGCAAGGAAGCAGCATGCATTCAAGGGTGCATTATTTACAGCATATTACAAAGAATATTTAATTGAGCCTGTGCACATCATGTATTACCCTGTACTGATACAGAATGTGCACAGAAATATATCGCAGAAAATGAAGTTGTAAAAATTTCAATATTTCAAGCTGTAAAGTTTTAATTTTAGTAAAAAGCCTAAAAGTTGCTCAGAAATTGCTTAAAAACGAAAAAGTTGCTTCAAGTTGCTCGAACTGAAAAAAGTCCCTCCAAACGCAAAAAGTTGCTCAAAAGTTGCCGAGCACAATCGGGCCATGCCTACGGTGTTTTCCGGAAAAGAAAATGTTTTTGAGGGGGCCTTGCTAGGGTAGGGAGGCCCAAATTTTTTAATACCCCCCAATCATATAACGGTTGGCACGGCCCTGTCAGTTTATACTATAATAATTAGACAGTATAGTCTTTTAAATATAAAATGCTTGAAGAATTAAGTTCAAGAACTTGAAGAAGGAATATCTTCAAAGAACTGCCAACATTTCACATGTGTTTTATTCTCCTGTAACATAACGGTTGTAAATGTAGTTTCAAATTGAGTTGCAAATCTATTTATTTGATTTTTTGCTAATCTATTTATTTTTTGCCCCTTCAGGACCCTCTTCCATAACCATGGAGTCCCTTGGAGTTGAAACGACCCTTTCGAGGTGTAGAGACTATACCCTCTTTCCAAAGAGACGGAAATGACCCCTTGGGTTATAAAAGGTCAAATCTACTCTTTTCAATTTACAGTGTGGGCCAGTTGCAATTACAATTCACTACGACATGAATTACGTGTATGAAATTACTTTAATTGTCATATGTGAAATGTATAATTTCATAATATGTGAAATATAGGCTATGACTTGAGTTTCATATATGAAAATTCACATAGGAAATTACCAAAATCCACATATGAAATGGATTTCATAGATGAAATTTCTTTTTTCATATGTAAATTGTATAACTTCATATATGACTTGATTTTCATATCTGAAAACTCTTATATGAAATTAGCTACCAAATTTCACATGTGAAATGGATTTCATATATGAAATTTAGTTTTTCATATGTGAATTGTATAACTTCATATGGGACTTGATTTTCATATATGAAAATTCTTATATGAAATTACCAACTTTCACATGTGAAATGGATTCATCATATGTATATGAAATTTAGTTTTTCATATGTGAATTGTATAACTTCATATATGACTTGATTTTCATATATGAAAATTCTTATATGAAATTACCAACTTTCACATGTGAAATGGATTTCATATATAAAATTTCTTTTTTCATATGTGAACTGTATAACTTCATATATAACTTGATTTTTATATATGAAGGATTCTTAAAGGAAATTACCAAATTTCACATGTGAAATGGATTTCTTATATAAAATTTATTTTTTCATATGTGAATTGTATAAATAACTTCATATGACTTGATTTTCATATATGAAAATTTTTATATGAAATATAATTACCAAATTTCAGTGTGAAATGGATTTCATATATGAAATTTAGTTTTTCTTATGTGAATTTCATAACTCAATATAGGCCTATGACTTAATTTTTCATATATGTTAACGAACGATATTATTATATGAAGTACTTGTTATCATGACCGCTGAAATAGTCGCGTGGGCGACAAAACGTTGTTTGAACGTTCTAGTTTATATTTTTTCGACTACAAAAAGTGTGACGATATTTAGGCTATTTTTGTGTTTAAAGACTCGGAATAAAGTGGCGAATTATCTCGTGTAGACATTTTATAGACAGTTCAATTAATCGGGAACAAGTTTGGTCCTTCGACAGCCGGATCTGCTGCCAAAATAACGAGAAATTCGCGACTTTTGTTGTGAATGTGCGAATAAATATGGCGCTTAGTACGAGTGGACAACAACAAGACTTGCCGGGAGAAGAGACAGACCAAGGTGTTGAAGCTGTAAACAGTATTCAAAACGTTCATCTCGCCGACCACGAAAGTAAAAAAGAAGAAAATACATTGAATATAGAAAGCAAACAAGTGAGTACCAAGATTCAAATTTTACGAAGTAGTAAAAAATCTGCTAAAACCAGGCTGACAAAAGCTAAGAAACAATTGAACGACCTAATTGAGAAACAACTTCCTGGTGTACCATTGCCGAGTAAAAATGCCATAAGAAGAGCTATTAATAAAGTTAATTCCGAGATCAGTATAATTGAAAAAATTATTTCTGGCTTAAAAGAGATTTATGCTGTGAGTACTGAAAATGAGGAGACCAACACAGTTATCGAGACTTTAGACAAAGAACTTGAAGACATCGGGTCTTCAGTCGATTCAATAATTGTAATGGCTGAACAACATCTCGAGGAAAGACTTGGCAATGGAGAAACTGACTCAGTGTTAACTTCACTTCGATCACAAGAAACTAGTCCCCAGTCTCCAGTTATGTCGAAAAAATCCTCAAATGTAGAACAGAAACAAAAAGAGGCAAAGGAGGCTAGTGAAAGGCTAATCCAAATGGAAAACGAACAGCGAGTAAAGGAGCTAGAGATCCAAAAGCTGACCGCTGAGCTTCAGCTGACAAAACAGCGAACCGATGATGCAAGGAAAGTTGCTGCTCTCAACTAATCCCGGGCTGAAGAAGCCGAACGAAGATCGCAAGTATCGGATAATGATACAGTACAGAACTTCCTTATTAACCATCACTTAGAAAAACGTTCAGAGCTACCCAATGAAAATAAAGAACATAGACAGACATTTTCTCCCATTAGACTTAAAGGAGTGGATCTCCCTATCTTCTCTGGCGAAGAAAAAAGTGACTATGAATCCTGGAAGGCAGCATTCCTGTCTGTTGTCGATCGTCGTGATATTCCTGTCGGAGAAAAAATGCTTAGACTACAAGGCTGTTTGTCGGGTAAAGCTTTAACCATGGTGAAAGATCTCGGGTATTCCCTTAATGCGTATGAAAGAGCGAAGGCTAAATTGGAGAAGAAGTACGGAGGGGAGAGACGTTTACAGATAAAACACCTAACAGCTTTTCGCAATTTCCGGAAAATTCGTCCTCGAAATCTGGAAGATATGGAAGAGTTTCAAGTTCTATTAGAAAGAGTATTGATCGCCACTCAGGACTCAGGACCATTGCATGGACAGAGCTTGAATTTAACAGCTAAAGAGAAACTACCAGAAGAAGACGTGCAAGCTTACAAATATTGGCTAATGGACCACTCGCGTGAAGACAATTTTGAAGCACTTGAAGAATAGGTTGAATTACGAGTGCAAGTTATGGAAGAGGCGAAAGAAGAAACGAATGGCATTGGAAAAAAGACGGACAACCGTGTTGAACAGAAGAAACGCTTTCGAGGCTTCAATACTAGATCCACCACGCGATGTTGTATTGTTCCAAACTGTAAAGAGGATCACCCCCGTGGGTTTGTAAAGCTTTCAAAGATCTACCCGTCCTAAAGAGAAAAGAATTAATTACTAAGGCTGGACGCTGTTATTGTTGTCTGGCTGCTGGACATCGAAGCAAAGATTGCACCAAAACGAGACAATGTGGTGTTGATGGGTGCCTGAGTAAAGGCCACAGCAGTTACCTTCATGTAAGCCCTCCAAAACGCAAGGACGACGTGGGAGGTCAATTACGGCATGATGCACCGACATACGTCCCCCCAGGACAATCGAACCAAAATAGAGAGGCTCCTCGTAATGATAAGACACGTGATGACAATCTGCCACCAACCAA